TAACGTAACGTAAGTAAGTAACTAACTAACTAAAAACTAAACGTAATAACTAATAATAGTAAGTAAGTAGTAACGTAACTAACTAAGAAGTAGACTACTACTTCTCTCTCTCTCTCTCTCTCTCTCTCTCTCTCTCTCTCTCTCTCTCTCTCACATACACACACACATAATGGGAACTCATGCAATAATATGTAACATAAGTTTCCTGACAGCATGGCTTGCGTTGCATAAGCAGTTTTTTAGCAGTGGTGATCGGTTGCACAAACTTGCTGCATTAAGCACACTTTCTTAAGACCCATGAACTGTAATGTCATGCAAAGATCAAACTGCGATAACTTGATTGCTGGATTCTTTTTTTCAGATTCTTTATTTGTGTTATTTTTTTATTTTTTAGAATATGTTTGGCACACAGTTATCAATTCTTTTCTCTTTGAAATGAGATTTAGGAGGTAAAGGAATCTGTGCAGTCAGAGTTCCGACATCAAGTGTCACTGCTAGTGAAACCTATGCTTCAGGTAAATTTTAGATTGCTCTCATGCATAATTGATACTGGATGAATTACATCTATATATATATAATTAAAATTTTACTCAAAAGTAGCAAGATGGTTGATTTGATTTTCTCTTTTGAAAAGAAATCTCCTCCATCAACCCAAACTTCACTGTACTTTATTTTAAAATGCCAATATCTGGGTCGTGTGCTACTTTAAGGAAAATGGTCAATATCCATGGCAAAGAAGTATCAGGGAGCGACAATGCATGGCACTTCTGGATCTTGTCTCCAAGGGACAGCTGAACAAGCAACTCACTAAAAGCATTTGGAAATAAAGGAACCTTAAACAAGCTCAATGTTCTTTCTTAATGCAAACTCATGGAATCTTTAGATCTCTTGATCTTTCTGCAGATTCCAACAAATGATTATTACTTACTTTTTTGCCTGAAATTTCTCCAATAAAGTCAAAATATTGTCGAGCCCCATGATGAGGTATATGACTCCATTCTCACCAAAGGGTAGGGGCCCAAATCCCCACTGACTTGCCACTTGAGAATAGCTTGGGGCCTTGGTGGTAGTATTGCCAAGCCCCATGGTGAGGTCTCTGACTCTATTCTCATCAAAAGGTAGGGGCCCAAATCCCCATGATTTACCACTTTCTGAGATGGGGCTGGGGTCGTGGTAGTAGCACCCCACGTCCTAGTCACCACATTGTGGTTTCCATTCCCACCACTAACATCACCCCACTAACACCTTAAAAAAAGCTAACTCCTAATCTACTTGAAAAAAACCGGTAAGGGGTCTTCCCACTGAATTACCCAAAAAAACTAAAAACAAAAAAAAACCGAACTTTCACAATTTGTTCCTGTTTTGTCTATAATTCACTGGATTGGAGAATTCTTCATAATATTTTTGTTCAAAACTTTGAGGAACTCTCTCTTCCACCTCTCAAAAAGAAAATGCCATGGTTTCCATGGTTCAATTTGTCTCTGAAAATTAGCTTCTAACTATGAAAAAAGGGCTGGCTCCTGCTAAACTCATTAAAAAATCATAGTTTCTGACCTTCAACAAGGAAATCCTACTTCAACCTTCTTGTGATTTTAATGACTGTAGTAAAGTATGGGGTAGTTCCTATTTTGGAATTTTTTGTTCCCCCTCCCCATGTTTTGTTGGTTTTCATGGATATAGCCAACAAGATGTTCTCTCAGCTTTCATTCACAATCCTGTTTAATACCCACAAGATGCAGCAGTTTAATGGGTTCAATCATCACATTATACAGGTTCTAGATGAGGCATTTAAGCACTATGATGCAGAGATGCAGAAGAGATCTACAAAGACGAGTGAGGGACGAAATGGAATTCTTTAGTTATCGGATGTATGTTGATTATTTGTCTCCCTAAAGCTCAAGTATGTGCGTGTGTATCAAAATTTTGCTGGTGAAAGATGTCTAGAATTGTTTACACATTCCTATGTTATTTGATTAGTTAGAATATTCCTTTACCACTTGATTAAATCTATTTAAAGTTAACTGAGTTTAGAAATATATATTTCCCAGTCTTTCGTACTTATATTCGACGATCAATGGCATCTCAGATCATTGATGTTATCACTCTCGTATGATATTGATTCTGTGACTGGATTATATTGGGTTTTGCGGTTTCATCCGGTGCTTTATAGATTGTCATTTAAGCCCAATCGCAAGTAAAGTTTTGTTCATGGTCTATACATTTTAGGGTGTAGGCTACAATAATAGGAGCCTTAGTCACCCTATTGGGCTATAGATTTGCACCCAAATTTGGCTTCTTTTTGAGAAAAGCCGAAGTTTGGTTTCTATGAATTAAAATTGAGGTTAAGGGCACTCATACCATACATTAGTCTTATATAAAGTATATGTTAAGGCTGTTTACCTTTGATACAAGGTCAGATTCTCTTCAGCCATTAGATGTGAAATTGAGTAGTTGGGGTTGTGCCATTGGTAGTGCTCAATGTAAGGGTCGGTACATCTCCAACCACTTAATTTCACATACAACTTAAATGATGCAAATTATCTAAATTTAACAATTTTTATTTGTAGCTTTTCATATATGAACCAAACGGAAACTACACCATCCAATAATGTCTACTGTCCATTTGATGTTTGGTTGCAGGTTAACTGTCATGGGGACTAAAAGAATAAAATCTATATGTAATCCGAATAACATGTTACAACATGTAAAAGCTTGAAATCAATTTTTTAGCTAGATTCATAGTTGTCTAGATCATTTTTAGGGTTTTTTTATGTTAAAAGTGTCGAAAGTTGGGATGACTGGTTTGGGGGTTTTCTATACGAGAACTGGGGGGTATTATACGGTTAAGTATGAGGTGCTTCCTTAAAAAGCTATACCCTACGAAACACTCTCCCTTTTAATATTTAAGCACTAAGTGAAAGCGTGTGGAATTGCTTTCCTTACAGCCCAAATTTAGAGAAACTAACCCTGAGTTTAGAAAAAGTTGAAATTAGAAGAAACTGAATTCAAATTTTAACTTTTAACTTTAATATTCTAACCAACATTTTAGTTGAGAGCCAACTACGATAAATTGATTAAAAAAAAAAAACGTACAAAAAAAAGAAGCAAGAATGAGATTTTGAGACCAAAATTTGAAAAAGAATGAGATTTTAAGAATTTTTTCATTTATTTTGAGCTGGGTAAGTAGGGGTTCTAGTTCCCCAACCCAACCATTGAAGCAAGTAATAATAATAAAAAAAATCTCTCTCTTTTTTTTAGAGAAGAAAAGGAAACGACCAAACAAAGTAATTCCCCGTGTTGATTTGCTCAAATTAGCTTGTTGGACATGTATTTAGGTAAAAGTTTCACCCCTGAACAACAACGACCAAGATGAGAAGGAAAACGTTTATATAAGGCCGCAACATTAAAATGTAGAATTAAGGTACATCTCAAAAATCCATCGGAAAATGCTCTCCTGATGTTGGAAGACTCTCTAATTGATAATCCTAGCATCTCAAAAATAGTGTATCTTGTAACAAATAGTGCATCTTGCAACATATTATCTAGACTGTTCATTTTTCAAGATTTTTATATGTTTATAGATCTACCGTTTAAACCATTTTGAAGTTTAAATATTCATAACTAGAGCTGAAAGGGATTCTAAGGCCATCCTAAAAAAATTTGACACCCATATTACATCTTATGATAAAGAGGTGCACCCTACTTGGATTGTTTAAGTTCGCAACCTCATACAAACCACACCTTTAAAAGAAACATTGTCCAAAAAAAAGGGAAAAGTTTATATAGAGCCGAGGCTCTAAACAATCAAATTTGAGCCTACCTCAAAAGTTCACTAAAAGAGGTTGTTTTGATGCCCAAATATCTTCAAATTGATCATCTTGATACCAAGATGCATGGACATGGAAAAAAATAGATTTCAAGTTTTGGAAATAGTGTATTTTGTAACGTATTTTTAGACCGTCAATTTTCAAGTTTTCATAGATATGTCGATCTACACTATTTTTGAAGCTTTGAACTATATAAATAAATATGAAAATATATTTTAAGGACATCACAAAGATTTCCAATAGTAAAATCACATTTCTCGACACTGTTTGAAGGGAGGCTTTGATTTGATTGTTTAGAGCCTAGGCTCGATACAAACCGCACCCAAATAAAAAAACATACTCGAAAAGATTAATAAAAGAAAGGTGAAGTTTGGTACACCACCCAACTTTATCATAAGGTGTAACTTTGGTGTCGTGTTTCACAAAAAAAAAAAAAAAAAAAAAAAAAAAAATTGTAACTTTGGTATAAATTTTTTATAAGTAGATTGATAAACACATGAAAATCTTGAAAAAAGAAAAGTCCAAATAATGTGTTATAAAATGTTTGAAAAAAAAAATTTCCTGTATTCGTCCATCTCGATCTAGATGATCTATTAGATGATTGTCCAACATTAAGATAACTTTTTCGTAGATCTTTGAGAAGCACCTCAATTCTACACGTCAACCTGATATAAACTTTTTCCATAAAAGAAACACCTAGCCAAAGCAAAACAGACCCTGTGGAGAGCCAACCCATGTAAAAAAAACAATACAGTTTGCCCACCTCTAAATAAACTCAACAACATTTTCAATCCATCACTAACAATAAATTGAGTTTTTTATTTAAAGAAGACCCACCTAAATAATGCTTTATCTTTTATTCTGAGTAATCATGGTTAATTAAGAAAGAGCTTCTCAAGTGTAACTGTGTATTCAAATCCATGAAACTTACAGGGAAGCAGTGAAATTTATGGGGAATAGTGAAACAGATGAATGGAAGAGGGAGAGACCCATCATAACGACCACCTCTTTTAGAGGAAATGCGCTCTAATCCCCCTTATATCTCTGAACTCGAAAATAAAAATAAAAATAAAAATGGAAGAGAGAGACCATCACAACCACCACCTCTTTTAGAGGAAATGAGCTCTAATATCAGGACTGTTGTTTATTCTAACAATAATCTCAATAGAAAGTAATTAATCAATATATTTATATCACCTTAAAATTATGGGATTATATAGAGTGAGACCATTTACTTTTAGTATAAAAAAGTCACAACCAATAGATAGTGAAATTTGGTAGCTTGGACGTGACACCTTAAAATTAACCCCCTTTCTTTATCCATAAAATTACAAACTCTCTTTTGGTTTTATCCATGGAGAGAGAGAGAGAGAGAGAGGTCTAAATTAGACTGCAAAAAGAGCATTAAATAATAAACAATCTAGTTTCAACATTCAAAAATATAAAAGAAATAACCTTGCATTAATCTAGATTTCAGCATTCAAAAAAGAAAAAATAAATAATCTAAATATCTGTGCACATCCCGAAGAAGATAAAGTTCAACAACAGATAAAATCCCAAACAGAAATTAATAATTCACCCATTCCTTTGCTTAATCCTGAAAAGTTACAGCACTTTCCTCCTTCCCCAGGAGATTATTCCACAAATCCCCCTCCCACAATTCTCATATGCACTATGATTTCAATGCATAATCATAAACCAAAACAATGAATAACAAAAATGCATATTCATAAACCAAAATAATGAATAACAAAAATAACAGATAAAATGCCAAACCATAAGTAATAATCCATTATTATTCTTGTTAATACTGAAAAAATATACTCTCTCCCCATACTCACAAAATCAAATCACTGCAACAAAAACCTCCTTCATAACTCTCAGATTCTCGAAGAAAGTACCATACCATCAAATCAAACGAAACCAAACAGAACTCCCAATAAAACCATAAAAGCATAACCACTCCCCGAAAAACTGAACACTGTGATTACAAGAAAACCCATTAAAGAAAAAGAAGAAAACCCATTAAACAAAAAGGCCATAGAAAGCCTGAAACTACTGAGGAACTGGTGCATTATACATGAAAGGCCTTCCTGGTGGTGGATAATAACTCATCTGTGCTTTTCCATTGCAGTCATGGAGACACTCCTTAAGCTTGTGGAAGCCATGCTTGAAGACTCCAAATCCAAAAAGAAGACCAATCAGTATAATCAGAAGAATCAGGCAAGTGCAGATCCTGCATAATTTCCCTGTACAACACATCTTCACACCTAGAGGTTATTCAAGGGGATTTGAATTGAGTGCAGTTTTTTCGGAAGAAATTGGGGTTTCTGGAGATCTAGAGGTGTATAGGGTTTTCTTGAGTCAGAACAAAAGGGTTTTTCTCAGAGAACTTCAAACGAAATTGAAGGTATCTGAAATGTTATAGGAACAGGGTTTCTTTCTTCTTTTTTTTGTAGATCTTGGCCCGTAATGCTGGTTTTTGAAGAATGATGAAAATGGGTTTGATGGATAATGAGAAAAAGCTTGTTCTGTTCTCTTCGTTTGGGTCAAAGCAAAGAGAAAAGAGGATATGGGCTCTAAATGAAAGGGGTTTTCTCTTTTTTCCTTGTAGAAGAACTGGTTTCTGCAAAAATGACTTTTTCCTCTTCTTTTTGTTTGGATAAAAGAAAAGGGAAAAGATTATATGGGTTAAATCTAAATGGGTTTTTGTCTCTGTTCTTCTTGGGTAGAAACTAGGTTTTTTTTCTTTTTTTTTTGGTATGGACAAAAGCAAAGAGAAAAGAAGGATATGCGTTCTCTCTGTTTTTTTGGTAGAAGAAGAACGCACAAAGATCAACAAATGGGTTTAATAGGAACTATGAAAAGGGAGTAAAATTAGGCTTCTCCTTGTCGAGTGGGTGTGTTTTATGGAAAGGGAATGGACAAAGGAGTGGGTGTGTTTTATGAAAAGATAATGGATGAGGGGTCTCTGCAACTGCCCCTTGACGTTTAATCTTCGAATTACCCTTATACCTTTTTTAATGGCTGGATTCTTTTGATTAGGAAGGATAACGGTTCCTTAATCATCTGTAATTATCTTGATTTGGTATTAAATACTTATTTGTGAAACTAATTGGACTCGGTCAATGGCTTTGAGGATATTAGATAAAGTATATTTACTTTTAGGAAAATGACAAGATAAAAGAAGATAAAAGTGACAGTTGCTGGTCCTCTGGGTAGAAAGAAAAACTTAGTGGCCTCTCCTCCCTCGTTGGGAAAGAGAAAAGTAATGTCTGCCCTCCCTCGGTAGGAAAGTTAAAAGCTCCTGCTTCTTGTTTTTGAGAAAATTCATTACCTTACTTTTTTTTTCCAACTAGTTGCGATCGGCTAAACAAATCTTGGTCCATTTATATTTTTGAAAAGTTTTGGTATTAGTTGTCTACCTAACTCAATTCACCTCCTTTATCCGGGTTTAGAACTGGTTAAAAAAAAAGTTTAAGATCCTCACGTTTTTTAGACAAAAAAAAACTAAAAAGTTAAAAAAACTTGCTTTTTTATTTTTGGAGTAAAAAAGAAACTCGTATAAATATTTAAAAAAGGGAAATTTCGGTTAATAATTTTCCAATTTTTTGTGGTATTGAAACAATGTTTTCTATATTTACATTTTATTTTCATGTCTTTCTCTTTCTTTTTGTTTGTTTCAGTGAATTAAAATGGTCTAGAACTGTTGGCTCAATAATGCTTATTGAAAGGAATCAAAAGAGTCATGAACTATTAGGGTTGAACCCACTCATTGTAACAGTCAAAGACGTCCAAAACTAATAGTTCCCAACAGCGAGTATTTTGAAAAATTATAAAAATATAAAAAAAAAACCACAAATGTAAATTATAAAATATGTATAATACTATTTAAATACCACTAATTATAAGAGATATTAGTGTAAATTTCCTATAAAAATATGTCTATCGTGTTTTGTCATATGGAGTCATGGATTGGATGATTAAGTCATGCATAAATGGTCTTATACTTGAAAGTATTTCAGGGATTGATTTCTATACAGTTTGAAGTTTCAAAAATGGTGATGATGAAAGATTTATTAAATAAAATGTTATAAAATTATATTTAATGATAATTTTTATGATACCGTTTGTACAAGGTTGGAATCTTATTTGTAGAAGTAAAGTTGCAGTTCTAAACCATCTATTTTACTTAGATGGTGTTCAAGACAGTAAAAACATTGTCACATCTCTTAAGATAATGTCGAATATATACGCCGTCCAAATAAAATAAATAGTGTAGATTGTTGCTATTTTACTTCTATAAGGTTGCAACTTTATAAAAAAAAATTTCATTTTTTTAAGGCTTCAAATCTTTTTTTATACGCAAACATAATTGTCAAAATCAACATGATTAATTAGCATACTTTTTTATGTTGAAACTACATTTCTTAATGGGGTTTTAAGGTTCAGTTTATCTAACATATCATAGGAGATCCTATAGAAACGCCACCCGTTCTCGAAAATCTATGAACATTAGGCACTTGAATAACATTTTTAAAAGCCAAAAGATTTTATAATCTTGTTGGAGCATATTGTCTATTTACTCCTTTGGGCAAAATCCAATTTAGGAGTATTTTTAGGATCCCAAATTTTGGGGACATGCCTACAGCCCAAATACTATAATCGTCATAATATTATTTTCAGCCCAAATACCATAATCAACAACAAAAATAAAATTTCTAAATTTCCTTCTCTATAGGCTTAAAAAAAAATCATACCTCAAGGTTGAATAATAATCGTCTAACTTTCAAAGGTGAGATCTAAGTTTTACCAAAATTCACAAAAAAAAAAAAATTGAATAGAATCATCTAGTGATTTTTAGATGGCTCCTAAACTTTTGGATTAAAAAATCTTCCCAAGTTAGCCTTTTTCCCAAGGGAGCAAATGCACAGTATAACTCCCGCATGAGCATAGTATATGCGCTTCAAAACTATATAATTGTTCCTCAGATTAACCTTATTTTTATTGCGGTGGCTACCAGGTAAATGATACAAATAAAAGTAAACTTGAAATCATTGTGTATAGAATAATAAAATTATATACATGTCCGTTATACTTTGCATTATTACGGATGTATTAAATAGTTTCTGTTATTATATGTATGTTTATTTTTTACCTTTTATAACGTAATTTTTTTAAAAAAATGAGTTTACCTTTTTTCATATATCGAATAACTGAATTGACAGGTTTTGTAGATGTTCAACATCCAAAAATAGACTGAAAGTTTAACGCTCACATGCCCATTTTCGGGTGTTGAACGTCCGAATTGAAAGGTTTTTCGGATGTTGAACATTCGAAAATGGTTTCGGATATTGGGCGTCCGAAAGTATGACCATGAATTTCCAAAAAGTCTCTAGAATTTTGCAATCATTTTCGGATGATGAACATCCGAAAATATGACATTTTCTGATGATGAACATCCGAAAATATGACACTTTCGGATGTCCAACATTCGAAACCATTTTCACAAGGAATGCAATGTATCGACATAACCCTTCAACACCCAAAAATAGGAATCTGAACGTTAAACTTTCGGCCTATTTTCGAATGTTGAACATTTGAAAAACACTCCAATTCGGTTGTTCAGCATCCAAACAAGGGTAAAATCATCTTTTTTTTAAAAAATACGTTATAAAAAGTAAAAAACGGATATACATGTAATAACGAAAACTATTTGATAAATCCGTAATAACGCAAAGTATAACGGATATTTATGTAATTTTCTCTTAAAATAAGTTGTACTAAAGACAAACTCAATACTTAGTCTTTAGAAATTATTCGGATGCGTATCTAGTCATTTTAACATTAAAATATAGGACTAAAGATGCATCTCAAAGATCCATCGGAAAATATTATTATAATATTGAAAAGCTTTTTAATTGATCATCTTGACATCGAGATGTATTAATATGAAAAAAAAAAGATTTTGAGTCTTATAAATAGTGCATCTTGCAAAATATTATCTAAGCCGTCTATTTTCAAGATTTTCATATGTTTATAGATCAACTTGATTTTAACAATTTTTAAAATTTAAAATTTTATAATTAGATATGAAAATAAATTTTGAAATAATCCTAAAAAAAATTACACCAAAAATATATTCAAAATTACGAATTATGATAAAATTTAGAAGTGTACCTTGATTGTTTAATGTTGCAACGTAATAGAAACCGCACCGTTTCTTAAACTCTGGAAAAGATGTCACGTCATGGAGCCCAGTAGCACCAAACAGGTGGGTGAAACGCACAATCTAATGTTCTACAAGTGCGAAGGATTAAGCTTAAGAGATGATTTGGCAATCTTGGTATCCCTCTTACCCGTTCAAGGGAATTCTTGCTCCAGAAAAATAAAAGTCGCAGCAGTGAGGTGGGTGCAACATAAAATAATATTTTTATAGATTTTTGAGGTGCAACTTTAATTCGTCATTTTACAGTTGTAACTTAAAGTTTGACCCTAATTTATATATATATATATATATATATATATATATATTCTATTAAACAATCACAAAAAAATAAATTTTAAAAACACTCTAAAAAGTGTTCTTTTTAGCTTGATAGATACAGACCGTCTTTTTTAGTGAGACCCTTAAGTCTAGGTTTTTGAAGGATTTTTTTTCTTTCCAAATTTTTTGAATGGCTTTATTATTGTAACATGAACAATTTTAAAAAATAAAAAATACTTTTAAATTTACAAAGGCCTAAATCTTGAAATCTACCATATGGATGAAAAGAAGGTGTTGCAATTTTTGGGGCCATACAGAATCTATAAACATGGTCTTCTAGAAGAGCAGTTACATTATATTATCTAAAAGAGCAGTTACAGTATATTACAATGTTAAGGCGGCATGAAATCATTCCTCTCCCACACGTACAATCTTATGAACCTAATCCCAAATATTTGGGATTAGTTATACAAATCTTATTCCACAATTCCACTATACCAACGGTAATATCCTCAGTCAAATTATAAGTTACCATATCTTTTCTCACTACTTTCGTTCATGTCTTTTGAAGCTTTTCTCGTCTTTTAGGGTTTTCTATTTAAACCAAATCACTCGTTCTAACTGGTGTTGTTATAAGTCGATGTTGCACGTGACCACGTCACCTAATTCTATTTTCTCTCATTATTTTATCACCTCTTGATGTGAACTTTATATTATAGAAGCAAAATTCATCTAAAAAATCTACCCAAAAAAGTTATTCCAACATCATAAATAATACTACAATTGATCATCTTGACCTTAAGATGTATGGATATCAAAAAATATTTCAATTTCTAAAAATAATGCATCTTGTAACACATCATCTAGAATATCTATTTTCAAAATTTTAAGTATTTATAAATCTGCTTGATCAATCCTATTTTTAGAGCTTTTAATTTCACAATTAAGTATGCAAACAAATTTTTATGCCATCATAAAGATTTCTAGTGTACCTAAACTGCGCCTTTCACCAAAATTTGTATTCACTACCCCCATATCAATATTACTGCATGCGGTCTATGTTACTGGCATGGAGTTTTTTTATTTATTTTGGGTACACCAACAAGGAATTACCAGTCCAAGAGACGAAGTATAGCACGTAGTCATGAGAAATATTTTAAAAAAAATTATATCCACCTCAAAGAACATGCATACAACAATCAGCACCAACAGCAATGTTGGTGCAAGGACGGGCACGACCGTGGATATCGAAATTAAGCTAACTCTGATTTTAATAAATGTCATTGATACAGTTTCATAGATAAAAAGACCAACTGATACAAGTTTATAGAGAAAAAAGCTCCAGGAACTGACATGGGGTTCAGCTGTGTGTACTATACAGAGATAAAAAAAAAGAAGGCCCAAGACCACATGCTACATGCATGTCATGCAAAGCCAACTCGTGGTTTGGCTGCATTCGACGTGTGCAGAGAGAAAACCCTCAAAAACACAATATGTAATGAATTAGATAAAGGCAATTATGTATCACCAATTGCTTAGTTGAAAGCCATACTGCTGGCTCTTGGGTGGTATTCTGTGTGTATATATTTCTTAGCTTTCTCTGAACCAGTTTGGCCGAGCCACTCATCATATATGCCCTTTACCAGTGGATTCTCAAAAGGATCAGCCACCCTGACCTGCAAAATAACCGTAAAGAATAAAACTTGTCAGATGAATACCTTGAAGCATTCCTTTATCAAAGTTTATTTTAATTGGTATTTTTATTTATTTTAAATATCAAAATAGAAATTATAACAGAAACATATTAGAAGGGGCAACACCTGAAGGACATGCCACGACATCTGCAAAGTGGTAATCAGATTTCCCAGTCTTTATTTTCCTCACAATGTTCTGCAGGTTGCGGAAGCCATAGCAGAGAACAAATTTAAGAACAATTTTACCATCGACCTGCAGTGAGAATATCACAAGGCATTGTTATGTAAAACTCATAGTTTGTTGGGATCAAGAATGGGAATGGTATCACGACTGGGATTGGGAGTGGGGGATCGTGAAATGCTAAAAAATCCCTATGGCTGGGAGTGTTGTCCGTACAATACGCATATTAGGGATTTACATCCCTCCCCAAATGTCAGGGATCGAGATTATAATCTTAAAGTCTATAATAATCTAAATTATATAACACTTTTTAAAGTAGGGATCTCCTTATTCATAGAAAGGAAGCAATGCAACTATATTAAAAGTATAGTTGTATTGCTAGCTAGCTGAAAATAAAGAAAATTATCATTTTGATTGTTGTCTTGGTCTTTAATGTTAGGATCGAGATCCCTGATAGGAGATAGTGGGATCCGTAACAATGCGGATCGAGATCTCCAATTTTAAAAATCGAGATTCCTGAAAGACCCGTTTTGGGAGCGACAGAATCAAGACCCTAGAAGGGATCACCTACCAAAGTAGGAGATCCCCGTAACTATGGCAAAATCACAAAAAATGAGCATGAAAACATTTCCTGTAACTTCATTAAAAGAGTGATTGATCTATTCACTCTTGGTTAGTTCATTTGTGTGGGTAAAAGATTCCCTGGCCCCCTAAGAAATCAACCCTAGAAACTTGCCTCTAATGTTGCTTCTCGAAAATCTGTATTTCGTAATATTTTGAATTCAACAGGTCCTTGCATGTCCTTGCCGAATAACCGTTTGGCAGCACAGAGAAATATTGTATCTGCATAACCTCCAAAACCACCTTGAACCCCATAAAGATGGCCCTCCTCATCAACATTTGTGAGCCTGTGTATGATGTGTAAAAGCATCTTAAGAATTAGAAAAATGAAATGCTCTGTTTTTCTTATTCTTTCTTCTTTTTGTCAGTTGGATGTAAGCAGGGAACTGAGCCACAACCCTAGTGTTATGGCCTTTATGAATGTGTATGTCCATACCCATGTATTTATGAATATGGGTGGGTGTGCCTATGTCAATGGCCATGAAGAGACTATGCAAAAGAGAAAAATGAACTCTTACAATCTATCTAGTGGAGCTTCCTCTAAGGATCTGAAATCGCAAGATTTTAACTGCAACAATCCCAAAAACAAAAATATATGTCAACAATCTGGGTTTTTTTTTTAAGATAATATTCACCAATGATTTGCTTACCATACTTCATGAAAAAGGATTCTTTACACAAAAATATAGAATCTTTTTAGTATAAAATAATAAAAGACGTACCATTACCTTTATCAGGTCCAAAACTTCACCAGTTGTCAAGACAGAATCAACCTCAGCAATTCTTGGGCCTGCAGCTTCTTGACCAGTTTCTCCTTGGCGCCCCATAGAAAATACAAAATCATCCCTAGAAGCCTCCAGCTTTTTATCGTAACAGGGCATCACACTCACGTGGTAGACTTTATCTGGGCTATGCAACAATTTCCCATCACAAGTTACACACGAACCATTCTTACCAATAACAACAGCAAAAATGATGTTATTCCAATAGACTAAAATAGGTCACAAGGAAAAGAAAAATGCATTCATAAAGAAGACATTAGCAAGACTTAGAGTGAGCGAGCGAAAGTGGAATTGCTGCAAGAACTTCTCCTAGCATGGCCTGGGAAAGCACAGCTACAAAGAATTCATCCTGGTATGCAGGAACCTATCTTACCACTGTGGGACTCAACATTGCTCCTTTCTTTTTCTATTATTAGGGACTCAGTATTGTTCCTGATTTCTCAAAAGCTATTTAAAATAATCTTGACATTTGTTTTTGACAAGTGCAGGTCTTGAAATTCTAGTTGTCGTCAAAATGGTTTAAATACACCATTGTTTTTAGTACAAACTGAAGACAATATGAATTACCCATTCTATCTCAAAAACTCCCCAAAGAATTTCTCAATTCGCAATACAGGTTCAATGAGTGTATGTAATGAATACTTACAGTAATAAGTATTACACTAAGCAACATTTCCATCTTCAATATTATATCTTCCAGGTGACAAATTTCTAGGCTTATAATTGCCAAAAAGAAATGCTAAGATCAATGTTCTAAAACTCGTTTAGTTGACTAGTTTAACCAAAAAACATTGTTGAGTAAATTTCAGACTCGTCTGAGTGGACTCTACTCTCGTTACCCAGTGAGTTTTGTGGTTTATCAAGAGAATCGTGTAAGTAATTCCTATGGGCCTCTTTGGATGCACCCATTCTCACTAATAATTCACTGTTGCTATAAAATGCTCATTAAAAGCTTTGTTTGATGTTTGGGTAATGTATCTCGTAAGTTTATTTGTGATGGATTTTTTGTTAGATTTCTTGCATCTTAAATATCGTTCAAAAAAGTATTTTTCTTGATTCATATAACTTAATCCTTTTCTGTAGGCTTTTTGTTAGGGCCTCCCTCCCTCAATTTCTCAGCTGATGCTTGTCAATAAACCCTCTGCGAAACCATAAACTTCTTCCTCTCACCTCAAATCAAACCCTGATTGCAAAGAAAACGGACTTACTCCTTATCCCTTCCTCCCTCCCAACATTCTTTCACACTAAACCTGACATCCATACTTTTAAACTTTGAGCTGATTTTCAATTCTTCTTGAGATAGGAGGAAACCTAGGGCTCAGCTTGACATGAGAGAAGTACTCTGCATAGATCAGACCTTAAACCTTTCTCTGTTTGATCTGATCTGCCATGTTTGGAGCCAAAGAGACTTCCTACAACTACTAGAGATCCTTCAACGGTAAAGTAGTCCGAGCCCTGTAAAAGTTCAATTCTCACAGTAGACCATCAGATCCTTGACGCCTTTGCTCTTAGTAGAACTCTTATGCCTTTGACAGTCCGGGGGTGTTTGCCAATGTTTGTATTTTTTCAAGGAGATCATGGTGGATCTGTCGGATTTTGTCTTGAAGTTTGGCAATAAGGGCGTTTTGGGAATATAGTTGGGCTGAATGGGTTTCCTGGTTGTTTAGGATCTTTGTTAGGATTTTGTTTTGGGCTACAGCATTGTCTGAGTGCCAGTTTAGGACTTTTTCAGATGGGGTAACTTGGTCAGTCTGTCCATTGTGGTCAACTGAAGTAGGATTTTTTATCTTCCAGGCATGTTTGGTTTTTTGGTTAAAGACTCCATAGTCTGCAAGGCTTGGGAAATCTTGGTCATAATTTGGGGATCAGGGTGAAAGCATATAGCAAGGTTGTAATTGCGATGATGGGGGTTGGTATGGGAAAGAAGGTTTGCACTGTTTAGGAGGTGGATTGGGTTTGCATGGTTCAGGGGGTGGATTGGGTTTGGGTTTTTTCTGGTCTCCATATAGGACTAACTCATATTTGCCTGTTGGCTGGCCTAGGGGGGCGACGTCTAGATCATTGGCTTCATACCTCTCTCGAAGTATTTGGTCCCATGTTTTCTTGTTTTTCTTCTTCGATGAAGGCCTATCATCTTCTTCTTCAAATAGGGATTCTAGGCATCACAATTGCAGTTTCCTGCATCAAACCACATGTGACCATCATCGGTCTTTTCTTGGAAAACTGGGAGGCCGGTTTGGGTAAAAGCAAGTACCGGGACAATCATGTGCATCCCTCTTTCATTCCAAATATAGGTGGTCTAGTTGTAACTCGGAGTGGCGCTGGAAGGAAAGTTTAACACCACCGTCTTGCCTTCTTATCATGCTTGGGTCAGGCATTTGCAATGGGGTTTCTTCTTGGGCATGGAGGTTTTCGTAATTTGTTATCCATTTCTCAGGTAGGAGGCTTAGAAGCTCAGTTCTTGGTAGTTGTCTAGGCACAAAGTTGGATGTAGTTCCAAAAGAGTCTAATTGGATTAATAAGGCTTCATCTTTGTTTATTCCTGAGGGTAGTGATATATCTAGGGCATGGTCCTGGACCCTGTATATCATTTGGTAATGTACAGCATAGGTATTTGAAACCATAGGGGCCCCAATAATTTGCAACTGGACCTGAAGGGCAGAGAAAATATGAGGGTCTTTAAGGGCCATATTGAAATTGGGATATAGGGTAATAAACATTGTCCCTGTGTTCAAAGTGGATTGTACTGTGGCTATTACAGAATGCTGATATTCTTTGAAACAGGTGTCGAGGAGGGTTATTCTTGATGTAATTGAGAGGCCTTTACTTCTATGGAAGGTTAAGGCTAATCGCACTGCTTCGAAGTGAAGATGGGAGTATCTTTTGGCAAGGAATTTGATTATGAGTTCATCTGGGATTCGTAAGGCAAAAAACTGTTCTGCAGCTGTTGCAGGGACTGGGTATTGGTCAAAGCTGGAGGATTGAATATATTCTTTCACGGGCTGTGGTTGGTTGTGAAATATTTTTTTGATTGTGGTTGAAAATAAAGGTTTTGATTTTTCAAAAAGAGCGTAAGGGTTTACTAGTGGGAGTGTGGACTCAGGCATTTTTTTATTATCATTTTGGTATTCTATTTTATATAGAAGTCTAAACAGGAGGCAGTACTTGATCTTAGAGAATTTGATGCAGAAAGGGTTCCACTTATTGAAGGTCTGCCACTATCTATCAGGTTATCTGCCATATCCAAAATTCAGGTTGCTCTATAGCTCTTCCTTAGAGACTTACTTCCGAGACTTACACCATAGAAATGGTTATGGCTCTGAGGTCAGGATCAATAATTGACATCCTGGTTTTTTGGTTATGGCTCTGACCTCTTGCCTGCCACATATAATACAATTTATATGTCATAGAAATGGTTAGTGGGAGAATATAAAATTTTAGACAAAATAAGAAGACTGTTGTTTTATCAAAAGAGTCAACCAATTGTTAATCAGAGTCAGATATATCAGACTTACGAATTATTATCTAAGAGAGTTATTGGCTAACATAGACCCTTCAAAAATCTCATTGTACCAATATATATTCAAAGGTTCCTTCCTCACACCAATAAAATATGCAGAATTTCTGGTAGTTAGGTACCTGAATACGTAAGTAGTCCGAATGTAAGCATCAAGTAGGAATAAATCACTCAAAAGTAGAGATTGTTGAGAAAACAGGGACTTGCCATACAAATGACCCAAATCGCTCCATACCAACATTAAAAAAGAACAGGATAATGATACAAATGAGAAGGCACCCGAAAGTTCAGAAAGCCAAATAAATATATCCTGTCTCTGGATTAGGCTGTGAACCAAGCTTGAGGTAGAACGCAATCCCATTATAACCCATTTTGCTGTCCTCTATAACTAGTTGAAAACCTTTGCTAAAAGACAGAACCCATTTGATCAGTCAAGGGAACTGATTCAAGATTCCAATGAAACCATCCACCGATCAAGACACTTAAAGAATGAGGGAGCTCATTTATGGGCAGTAACAATTATCACAAAAACAAGGACCCTATAACGCAAGACTGAAATATCAAATGCTGATCTTTTTTGAATGCTGATCTTATATACTATCTCTGGATAACAGATAATTGCTTAAAAACGAGACAATAAATAAAAAAGAACATTTAATTTGTGATCTAGTTTTCAGCTGTAGTTTCCCTGGTTAAGGTCCTTTTGTTGCTACACATGCAAAAAGGCATGACTGTTTCATTTAAAAAATATGCAAATTAACTTGATATTCCATTCTAGTAAGCGATCAGTCAGGCATATTATTTGAGTATAATACCTACGTGAGCCCCAATTTCCAGCAAATATGATGTTTGATGACAGATCCAGTAGACTGCTGGGGACTTCTCACAGTACTAATATAAGGCAAAATATAAGATCCAAGAGTCTTCTCCGCATAGCATATCCAACCTGAAATATTTAAAAAAAAATTCTCAAAGCTGTCATCATTTCTTGATATAATATTTGAGCCACTAATCATATCTATTACATGAAACAACATCGGGTAAATAGAAAAGTTCACATTAGAAAAGGGATACTCTAAGGCCTGAACATTCATATTGACTTTAACTCGACTAGTGCTCTCTTGATTATATTAGGGAATCAACTGCAAGAAACTTTGATCACATTGCCTTTTCTTTATTGGAAAAATGTCAGGATAGTAACTGCAACACCTGTATAAATCAAAGACTGGTCCAGAAACTTGAAATATTGGACAGTACCTGGACAAGTGACTATTTTAAATTACTATTTTATCGCGCATGACCTGGACTGAGGAAGTCATTGAAATCTTGAAATATCAGAAGTCAGAACAGTAAAATAACCTAGCGTCACCTGGGTTAAAGTAGTCATGTAAAATCATTAATGGGTCCAGAAATTGTCCCGATGTCTCCAATTTCTGGACAATCTGTGCAGGTGTTCCTGGTACTGTTCAGATATTCCCCCTATCTCATTATTTAGATTACCTTCCAAAGCAGAATATACCAAAAAGAAAACAGGCAAGAACAAAGTTGGTGATTTATAGAATCCATACTAATTAACATAGTGCACTGAGATAGTACATTTAAAACTAAGAAATCAGCAAAAGTTTGGAGTGCATAATACCTGGGCAAGCTGATGAAAGCATGGGAAGTGTGGGCACATATTCTTGGTCATAAGTTGCCAGGTGCTGATTGTATCTTGTAATAAATTCATCGCATGCTTCGATGAGAGCTAAATCCCTACTGCAACTTGTATCAAACACAGCCTTCACTCCCAAAGACTTGAAGAACTGAGTGAGTTTCCAGAAAACCTGAAAAAAAAGAAGAAATTGTTAGTTCAACCGCATAACCCATTCAAGTCTTATTAGAAAGAAGTTCATGAAGTCTTAAGAATAATAACTAGCACCAAAGCAAGTTCAATTTTGAACTTGAGGCCACTAAAACCATGTCCATCAAAGGAATGAACAAACACTAGCATATCCATCTCCAAGTTGTTATGATAAATTTTCAAGTTCAATTAAAAAATTACAGGACAAACATGGATTGTCTACAAAGAGACCATTTATCTTTTGTACATGGAGGTCACAATCGTTCCCACTCATTCGATGTCAAATTGGATGGCTTGGGGTAAGTCACAAAGTCCGAGAATTTTCTTTTAGGAACTTTGTGTCTACTCAATGACACTTACAACCACCCATTTTGAAATTTAAGGGACAAGAATGATTGTGGCCTTCCATGAATAAAAGATAAATGGTCTCTTTGTAGACATCCCGAAAAACATAACCAAGTATCGAAGGAATAACTATAACCATCTTACTTGTAGTCCACTTCAATATTACTCAGGATTTAACAAAACCCTCCAAGAAGCATCATGATACAATCTTGATGCAGGGAAAATTGAGGGAACCGTAAAAACATCAAGGAGCAAACCAAACACAAGCACAAGTCGAAAAAACCTAGGGTTTCTTCTCCATACCCCAAGCTAGGGTTCCAAAAGCTAAGTGTTTCTCTCTTTCAATTTCTAAAAATATATGGAATTCACCCTCAAGGCCCCACACACCTATTATATATTATAATTCAATATTCGAAGACATTAAATATCTACACAATAATTAAAATGAACTATATATCTTAACTTGAACTTAAATTTTGTAATGACAGTTTTACCCTTGTGAATAGTACCCATGAACAGTACTCATGAATAAAATTTGTGAATAGTACCCATAAAATAAATAAAAAATATATAAAAACCCTATAATTCCTACAAACTAAAAACCCCTAGAAATAAACTCTAAAACTAAAACTATAATATACATCCTTTAAAACTGAAAAAAATAAAAAATAAGAACAATTTTTCCCTCCATCAAATATTTAACTGGAGAAAGAAACATCTTATACCAATATTTCTTCAACACTTCCAAACCCATAGAAGGATTTCCATTTGAAAAGAATAGTCAAGTTATAAAGGAAGAATGCATCATACTAGAAATGGGTGAAAGAACGAAAGTTACAGGTAATTTCCCATACTCTCGCCGGCTTCAAGCCTGTAAGATTTTCAACAAATTCCTATAAAATATTTTATCAATCAAGTTGTGATCATGATATAACTATATGTAATTTTGTCAAAGTTGCAGAAGATCAAAATAATGACAAGAACTTGCTCCAAGCAGTCGTTTCACTGATATATCTCAATTTTTGTTGTTTTGAGAATGGTCACTTGTATTAATTAAGAAAAAGGTTTACAAAAATGAGGAACCCCGTAAGAGATGGCACCCTATACAAGAACCCCGAAGGGGCCAAAAAATGCTTCACAACAATAAAAGAAGGAAAAAGTTTATATAGGGGTGAGGCTCTAAACAATCAATTTAGAGTGCACCTCAAGAATTCACTAAAAGAGGTTGTTTTGAAGCCAGAAAATCCTCAAATTAATCATCTCGACCTCAAGATGTATGGACACAAGAAAGAAAAAATGAATTTCAAGTCTTAGAAATAGTGCATCTTGTAATGCATTTTCGGACCGTCAATTTTCAAGATTTTCAAGTGTTCATAGATCTGCTTGATCTACACTACTTTTGAGGTTTTAAATTTTATAATTAGGTATGAAAACAAATTTTCAGGCCATCACAAGGATTTCCAATATTGAAACAGCATCTTTCGACACTATTTGAAGGTGCGCCCTACTTTGATTGTTTAGAACCTCGGCTCTATACAAACCACACCCACAAAAGAAAAGATACTGCGGTGAAAGAATGTGAGAGTGGGGAGTACAAAATCACCTAGTCCCCTTGATGGGATTAAAATGGGTTCCCTCCCTAGCCAAAGTATCTGCTGCAGAATTGGCTTCCCAATAGATGTGGTTTCATGAAACTCTTAAAATCCTACAAATATGCGATATCGTGTAGCATACTTGGTCGGGTCTCCATGGGCAGGAAGTGGGATTGGAGGCCCAAGCAATCACATTCCTAGAATCCCCTTCGACCACTAGCTCTGGACTCCAAGTAGGGTTAAACTTGCGACTGCCCTCGAAAAGAGTTGAGTCAGCTATGCCTATTGGTCAAGAGAAAGATAAAAACATGTTGTCGTCGCTGGTGCTGAAGAGACCCCTTATGCCAGAGGGAGGGTTGCCAAGAGAGCAACCATCAAAGTTCAGCTTGGTATAGTCCACATCCGGAAGTCTCCAAAGAGAGGATCATGGATTCCTTGAGGTTCTCAAGACCAACATAGTTTGCCAACTGTCGTGCAGGTCCGAATAGGAGAAATCCTTAAAGGATTTGGGTTTTTGGCCCAAAAGGAGACCAAAGTTCTAACCTTATCTATCATGGTGGCAACATTGTTCTCTCACCTCTAAAAGTTCTGTTCTTTCTTTCAGTCCAAATTACCCAAATTATGGTGGCCACTGAGGCTCTCCAAAGGAGTCAAGATGCCTTGGGCCAAGCAGCGGAGAGAAGGCCTCAAACAGGCGGGGACCCAATCGTGGGGTCACCCAAAACCACTGAAATAGTTGAAGCAGGTCACTCTGTAAGGATCTTGCCACTTTGCAATGGATAAACAGGTGTTTGTTGGTTTCTTGGGCCAATATGCACATGACACCCCTATTAGGACAAGGGAGGCCCCTTCTTTGGATGTGGTCAATAGTCAAGACTCTCTCATAGAGAGCAATCCAGCAGAAAACTTGTACACTCACTGGCATGAAAGCGAACCAGACATTGGATGCAAAGACAAGGGGGGAGACGCAGGGACAGGTGGGTAAGAGAAGGTTCGAAAAAAGCAGGACACAGAAAATTCTGGAGGCTGCAAGTGCCCAGATGATATTGTCTTCCCAATTAGGAGGGAGAAAACCAGAGTGCAGAAGTTCGACCAAAGCCATATACTCCTCTATTTCATGATTGGCTAAGATCCTTCTGAAGTCAGGCATCCAGGGTCTAACAGACCCTGAGGTACTGAAGTTCTCGGCCACTGAAGATTGAGCGTCACAAGCAAGGAGAAATAAGTTAGGGAACTAGTCCCGAAGGGGGGTGTGGCCAATCCAAGTGTCTGACCAGTCTATTTCCTTCCCTCAGAAGAAAGAGAATGTGTTGGAAGGGAGAGGCTGCGGCAGTGAAGCACTTCCTCCAATAACCCGAGATGTTGCTGCTGACTCTGCACTCAGGGGTCCAACTATCAACACCGAAACAATATTTGTGACGAATGACTTCCCTCCAAAGGTGTTGGGGTCAGGTGGCAAACCTCCATCACCATTTGCCAAGAAGGGCAATGTTGTGAGATCTGAGGTTGTGAATGCCTAATCCACCTTGAGTTTTCGGCAAGCAACGCTTAGGCCACGATATAAGGTGGTACATTCAGCCGTTGTCCCCTGACCAGAAAAACTCTTGCATCATCCTATCCAGCATGGCCACCACCAAGGAGTGGAGGTGAAACAAGGACATCTGGAATACAAGAGTAGTGGCAAGGGTGGCCTTGATTAGAGTGAACCTGCCCGCCTTGGATGGGAATCTGCCTTTCCAACCTGCCAATCTCCTATCGAATTTATCTATCATGTAACTCCAGTGAGAGAGGGGGGGCATGCCAAGGAACAGGGGAAGGCCTAGATAGGCGATGGTAGTTCATCAACTTAGCAGCCCCATCTATCAGCTAGGGACTGCACTAAAAGCGGGTCTGTTCAAACCCCAGTCATCTTGGAGGCCATTATGAAACACTAAAGGAAAAGTAGGAGAGTATCGACCTGTTGAACCGATGAATAGCAAAAGACAAGTGTGTTGTCTGCATATTGGAGGTGGGATATGTTGGGACCTTCGTTACTAGATTGGAAGCAACTCAGAAGTCCAGCTTGGTACAACAAGAGATAAAGGAGCTCAAGATTTCAGCCACAATAGCAAAGAGGATTGGCAGCAAAGGGTCGCCTTGGCGAAGGCCTCTGGTGGCGAGAAAGAATCCTTTGGAGGATCCATTTATCAACACAAAGAAGAAAGGATTTGAGAAGCACCCCCAGATACAGTTCCTCCGTTTGGACCCAAAAGCCATTCCGCTGAGAATGTCATCAAGAAGCAAACAGTCAATGTGGCCGTATGCTTTCTCCCAATCTAGTTTTATGACTATGCCAGGGATCTTGAAGGTGTGTCTAGTATGGATACACTCATGGCTATGAGTTCCCCATCTAAAATCTGTCAGTCTTTGACAAAGGTCACCTGAGTAAGGGAGAGCACCCAATTGAGGACAGCCCTAAGTCTGGTAGCCAAGACTTTGGAAAGCATTTTGTAGGAGCTAGTAACTAGGCTGATGGGCTAAAGTCCCTAAGTTCCTCGACCCCTTCAATCTTCGGAATAAAAGCAATGAAAGTGACATTCATGGCTTTGTTGGCAAGCCTTCTGGAGTGGAACTCGGAGAAAAAAATCAAGAATATCAAGATGGAGAGTGTCTCAAAAGGTCTTAAACAGAGCGATGGCTACCCCATCTGGACCTGGCGCTCGATTAGGGCTCGGTTCGTTTATGGCACTGAGGATTTCATCTTCAAGGAAGGGGCGTTCCAGCCAACTAGATTTTTCAAGGGGAAGGAAAAGAAAGAAAGGTCATCCATCATGGGTCTCACTCCTGTCAGGGAGGAGAAGAGGAGGGAAAAGAATTGGACAGCTGCTTGTTCGATAAGCAAAGGTTGGTCGAGAATGATGTTATCCACCATGAGATGGATAATCGGGGACTGTATTTGAGGACTATTGATGCTTCTGATTATAGCCATGATGCCCATTACAAATTCCAAGTGATAAATAAGGGAATCAAGGAGGTTGGGGAGCTGAATGTCATACAGGTTGTCACAAATAATGCTACTCCTAATGTTGTTACTAATTTGTTGCACATAGCTTACCCAAGAATCTTTTGAACACCATGCGCAGCACACTGTATAGACCTCAAGCTTGAGGTTCTTCACGGTTTGAGCGAAATTTCTGGTGCAGTGAAAGACAAAGTCAGTAGACTTTCATTTATGGCCAAACTCTCATCCTCAGCATGATTTGTAGATTTACAAAGAAGAAAGAGATTGTGAGGCCTGGGGTCATGAGATTTGCTACCTGGTACTTATGCCTAGATAGCATACATTCGAGGAGAGTCCAATTGAGGGAGATGTTTACTTCGGATGAGTAGAAAGCAAGGAATGGGAAGAAGGTGAGAGATATTATCCTTTCTAAGGCTTTTTGGTGAAGGGTGAAGGGCGCTCTTAAGGTATTTTTTTTCTCTTGTCAATGTCCTACGCATGGTTGATAATGACAAGCCCTCTATGGGCTACATATATGAGGCTATAGAGAGAGCCCAAAATTTAGATGATGATGTGAGCTGCTATGAGCCTGTTTGGAAGATTATTGATGAGAAGTGGCATAGGCAGCTACATCAGCCATTGCATGCAGCTGTCTATTTTTTTAATCTAGTTTTTTTATGTTGATAGAGGAATATACATACATAAATGACACAATTATGATTGGATTTAATAAGTGTGTAGATGTGCTAATCCCTAACCCAGATATCGAGGATATTATATGCGCTGATGAGTTGATAAGTTACAAGTGCATATTAAAGTCTTTTGGGAGTCCAATGGCGATGAGGCAAAGGACCAAAATTGATCCAAGTCATAATACTCTTAAGTTCCTCAAGTTCAAGTTATATTTCATGTTTGTTGTTTGTTTTCCATAATCTACAATTCTATTAATCGTTATCTTAATATTTCATATATAATTAAATTTGTAATTCAAAATCAATTTGCAGCCAATTGGTGGAGCCAACATAGGTGTAGTAGTGCCCCAAATTTACAAAAATTGGCCATTCAGATCTCAAACCTACCACTACCTCGTCTGACTATGAGTGGAATTGGAGAACTTTTGAGAGGGTAGTTTGTATTATTAGTAATTTAGTGCTTTAGTAGTTATTAGTTAGTTAGTTAGTCTTAAACTCCTAGTTAGTTTACTTATGTCAGTTGTAAATTTGTAGTTTTGTAGTATTACTATTATATATTAATTAGTATTTTTATTAATTAGTTTCACTTGATTTTGTCAGATTCATACAAAGAAAAGGAACATGCTTGAATCAAAGAGGCTCAGTGACCTAATCTATGTCAAGTATAGTCGATACTTGAAAGACATGTTTGCTAAGAGAGACTCCCTCGTATCAATAAATTTGGATAATGCTATGGAGCGGTTGGTTGATGATGATGAGGTCAAGGGGCATGAAGGATTGACATGAGATATAGTCATGGAAGCCTCATTGACATCAGCCGACCCTCCTAAGGCCACTAGATCTTCTTCCCAGAGGAAGAGGTGAAAGCAGAGGCAGATTCAAAAGAGACATAGGAGGACGACCGTTCTGTCGAGGAAAGAGATGATTCTGATGATGAAGGCTTCGACTCCAATGCATATGATGCAAATGCAGATGCAGCTGACCCTGCTTTTCTTATGATGAGTGATGACTGACTATTTTGAGTTGTGGAGTATGGAGGAGTGTATGTGCAATGTGGACTTGTGGACTATAGACATTTGATGTGCCCTAAGTCCCTAACTCTTAGGTGTTATACAGTTATTTCTTACTTTCTTTCATTTTCTTGATAATGAATTGATGTGTTATCTTAGATTATGGACTGAATATGCCTCAATATGTATTTTTAAATTATTTACACAAAATCTGACCCTTAAAACAGCTTTTCTTTCCATTGGGCCGCCCAGGATCTATGCGTCCACCTATGCGCCGCCCATCGTTTTTTGAAACACTGGTATTGGATACTTCAAAATTTCCAGGAAAGATGACCGCAAATCACCACTTGACATGCATTGCACGTCATACCCAAATAATTACATAGAGGTAGTTTTTATTTTAGTTTTTTGCTTTATTTCTTCTAGCTTCAAAAACTGGAATGACAACTTGTGCAATGTGATCACATTGAGGGATGTGCCTCAATAATTAGAGACTTAGCTGTGAATAAATCTTGTTGACATTAAGAAGTGCTCAGGCTCTTACTTAGCTAATCGCTAAACCACGATAGATCTCTTGGCAACAAAGTTAGCATTAGTTCAGTTTTGGTTGAGAAAATGTAGTAAATGGCCCACTAATTATGGAGAGCTAGAAAAACTTCATGAGAAAAGGACATTACCTCACAATTGCCTCAAAAAATCAAATGTAAAAAACGACCATATATGTCCATGTTTTTAACTGAATTTCTTTGGGGAGGGTTAGTAAAACATTACTAAGTAAAACAACAAAAATTTCTTTGCAGAGGGTTGAAATGGCAGACCAAATTCCATAATAGGGCTTTGGAAGATAAGGCGCAAGACAGAGTAAAGTGTTGAGAGAGAGAGAGAGAGAGAGAGAGAGAGAGAGAGAGAAAGAGAGAGACAGACAGACAGACAGAGAGAGTTAAATGGGAATTGGTCCAAGAGCCAAACGAGAGAAGTAATAGAGAATAATTTGGAGGTAATAGAGAGAGTTAAATGGGGATTGGTCCAAAAGCCAAAAGAGAGAAGTAACAGAAAATAAATTGGAGGTAATTTTCAGGAACTGTTCCCAATGAAAAATGTTTTAAGGAAGTTCTTTAAGAACATCACTTGAATAATGGTATAATACAGCTGTATTTCTTTTCTGTCAAGGAAGTAAGTTGCATTGAAAAAAATCATCTTTCAAACTACTTTTAAAAAATTGAGTCTTTTGGGGAGGAAAAAACAAGTTTGAAACAAAGTGTTGCTAACTATGCCAGGGCTTCAATCTCCGAATTCGACGAGTCAAAAATCTCAAGGGGCCAAAGCAGGTTATAGTAATGAGCCATCATGCACCCTAAGGAGTCCACTATTTCCAAGTAGGGTGCGGTACTGGTTGAGCTACCATAAAAAATAAGTCGGACTACTCCTGGCACTAGATACCTCCATCACACTGTATTTCTAGGTTAGCAAGCTCTCTAGGCAAACGTGCTCCAGTTCTCAACTGAGTTCCTTTCCAACCAGTATAAAACAATGTTAGAATATTCTCTAGGACATTGGCACAGGTAGCTAGATCTGAAGATTTTGCCTATCTTTTTTTTTAATAGATATGTTATTCTATAAGTCATGCAACATTGAGTTAGCAGCAAATACCAAATTGATTCATTCAGATTATTACTTGGAACAATCAAAATAGTTCTGATAAAAAAAATTGTATTTTTGACATCTACACTCAAGTTTAGATGCAAAGGATGGTGATATCAGCACCTGTAGATGATGCATAAATGCCCTTAGGATCATTCTGACAACTTACTCCAAATTATTCAGATTCTTTGTATATGACCAGTTCATGGCAGATCGATCTGCAAGTTGCATGCGAGGTTTTAGAACCCACATTTAATGTAACCTGAATTTTTTTATGCAATTTTTGTAAAACTTCAATTGGATAAAATCTGCATATCATGACAGGCACAATATAATGGGACCAGCTATACCACCCAAAATAGTATAGGCATATGATGAAAAATAAAAGAGAAGGGGGGGAAGATAGAGAGAGAGAGAGAGAGATTTGGTGTCACTGATTGAGAAATTGACATGTGTAAGAGAAAAGGACTTATCACTTCCCAACATTCACAAATATAATGTTCCCATGATGAGAGATGGATAACGGTACCCTTTACAAATCATTTCTATGATGAGATAATGATAACCTTTACAAACAATTCCTATAATGTGCCAGCTTCACCCCTTGATATTTAATGGAACATAGGGCGGGGGGGGGCAATGCTCTGTCACTAAGTAAACAACCAGTGCAAAACCTTTCCTACACAAAAGAAAGAACGAGACAAGAAAAATAGAGGAGGAATCTGATACCTGCAAGCCAAGCAATCATGTAGGGTGACTTTCACTGGTTCTGATGGCGATTGACTCAAATTAGGTGTTGCTTTATCTTGATTCTGGAAAATAGAAAACCCCAGCCAAATGAGTAAAATTATAGAGACTAAAAAAGAAAAGCATCTTTCATTAAGAAATGGCTTTCACAAACTTCCAAATAATATTTGATTGAAGCTAAGCACCAGAATCATGGATATGAGCAGGGTGGAGGATACCACAACGTGACATCTAGAGTTCCCTTCCCCCTAGATTGCAAGTTAACATTAAAAAAAAAAAAAACAAACAAACAAAAAGAACCATGGTCTGAGAAGAACCATTGAAATCACAATAATTTCATTATCTACAATACAACTCATAAAAAACAGATCCAACAAACCAACAGCATTTCTTTTTCCCTTTCTTTGGGTCGTCTCCTTTTTCACTCTCATTTTGAGATTTCACATGCACGCGCGTGCACACACACACACATATATACAGAGACAGCCAGGCATACATGTATACATCCATAATGTATATATACATTCATACATATACATACATGCATCATGCATGTGTGGGTGTCTTATGTGCGTGTGTGTTGGAACCAATACAAAACTAACTAAAATGCCCATGATCTGATTGGTCTAGTTCGTATAGATAGCACATTGAACCTGAAAACCAATGGCTGAAGGACACAAGCCCCCTCACTAAACGAGAGCATTACAACCATGATCACTTTTACGCCAAAAAACAAGAACTTTAGTAAATACCTTATTTGCTCTTTTATTTTATATACAGACCACCAGCCATCTCTTCTTCCTCTCTAGGAGACCACCGGAATAAGGAATCATCAAACTCAACATAGATGGGTGCTTGCTTAGGGCACACCAAGGACAAATCCTACTTTCATTCTTAGGCACCATTGGTTCCGCCAACTCCACTCTTGAAGAAATATAGCTCTCGTAAAAGGCATTAAGCGATTCGACCCAACTTGGGGCACCTCTCTCATGGTTGAGGGTGACTCCAAAGAATGTAATCTAGGCCACTAAATCCTCCCCATCATTGGTGACTCAAGCACCTGTTTGATCAGATTTTCAATCTATGCAGGCCTATTCATATCTCCTTTTAGCTAAACCTACAATTGATGTGCGTGGTAGATGATGGAGACAATAAATAGCCACAAGTATCTTCTTTGGGAGCGATAGATTCTTCCTAATTTTCGCTCATATTTGGAAGATGAAAATCCTATGAGGGCTTCCAAGAAGAACAAGAAGAGCAAGAAATAGTTTGGATGCTTTTTTTAGTTCTTTTAAGCTATTTCAGATTTTTATTTTTTATTTATTTCATTGCTGGACCAGTTAGGGACCTTTTAGATATTTTAATTAAAGTACCTTTTGGTCAAAAGTTGATTGTATAGACATATATTGTCCAAAACAATAATTTTCCAATATAAATATGGGCATGGATGGGCTGGAGAGGCATTCAAGCATTCCTCTTTAAGAAAAGATAAAACTTTTTCTTGAGAAAAGAAGCCTAAGATTTGAGCCCTAAGTGGGAGAAAGCCTTAGGGTTTCTCCAAAATTTCCTTTGGCTAGGTGCTTTCTTGCCGATTTTCAAAGTTTCTTCAAGTTCTCTACATCACTAAAGAAGGCACGGCGTCAAGGAACATAGATAGGACTGCCACGACACATTTTAGAAGTGGCGATCCCAGTTTTTCCTTTTCAGTTCATGAATGTATTTTTTGGATCAAGCTTCTCTATTAAAATGGGGTGTCTAGCTTCTCTGTTAATATGGGATGTTCCACCCCTCATTTTTTGATTCTCTCAGTTTCACTCTAATGTATAGAGCTCCCAACTTGTGAGATGCCATTTTTTGACAATTATGCATACAAGTAATAGAAATATTAAGATTCTCTTAGAAAAGAACTCCATGCCTCCAAATATTAGGACACTTGAACAATCCAACCACTCCATCGAAGATTATTATGACACAATATCCACAAAAATATACTCCGTCAAAAAACCTAGCCAATCATGCACAGACAAGCACTTACCAGATATTCTGATAAGAAGCAAAGGCCGTAGCAACTAACAAGGAGAAGCCACATTTTCAAGGAAATCCTTGTTTATACTTTTGAAGGAAAACCAAGATGCCAGGCTTGGAATGCAATATGTTAGAGACTCAACCATGGGACCTTAATGCAATAATGTAAAAAACCTGACCAAAGCATACCCACCAGATTCCTATTTTCATTATGATGAAACCATGCATCAAATTAGTTACGTGTACAACTTTGAAGAGGAAAATATTAGACTCCCAAAGGACAAGTTTCAAGTCCAAATTCTTTCTCGATACAATTTGAAGACCATATACTTATCAAATACTAAGTAATGACACCCTTTGAGCAAGGTGCAGATACAGAAGAACCATAAACGGATTAACGCCATTGGAGCAAGAAGCTGGTGAACTGGATATATCCTAAACCTGAGGGGAAAACTCTGGGCATGGATTGTGCAATAATAGAAATAATCAATACTTAACAATTTATCAAATTAGGAAACTTTTTCCTTCCAAATGGCAACAATAAAATAAACATCTAATCTCACAAAAGAGAGTTACGTCACAATTCAGTTCAGTGGTCGTATTCAAAGTTGGACTTAGCTGGAATCATCGACAACTACCGAATCAAGCCCAAGCCCAAAAACCCATTTGGTAAATTAAATACAAATAACAAACGTCAACAATAAGTTATAAATAAATAAAAATGAGAGTTTTTCTTTTTGTCTTTTTTTTCTTTTTTCCCAATTAGCTTTGAGTGGTTCAGAATAAAAAGGTATAAGAGGTTAACTGAGTTAATGGAGTTTCTACCTCTCTGATAGAAACTCGACGTACTTCTTTACCAAAATAAATCCTTGATTTTTCATTTATCAACCACAATACAATATTTTATCCCCTCATTAACTGTTCACTTGAATTACCCGTTGGGTTCATTCCACAGATGCCAGAGGAAACAAATAAAGAAAGAATATTTCAGGATTACTAAATCAGAGAAAAACCTGCAACTTACTTTTCAGATTCATAAGGGAAAAGCAAAATGAATTTGGTAATATATGATGCAAACTTGGATTCCGGATTCAAGATAGAAAACAAACCAGTACGAATCAGAAAATAGAAAAGTAAACTATCGAAGAGATCAAATGAATTGAACGAATTCGTATGAATTCGCTTACCCTATCAGAAACTCTCTCTGGTTTAGGGGCCGGTTTGTAGCCCTTCAAAGAGACTATGCAGGACTGGGAAGGGGCAATAAAATCGTTGAGATCGCCAACCCTCAACGTGGCCGAGAACTTTTTTGACATCTTCTCCGGCACCTTCCCCTCCTACACAACTCACAACGAGCAGAGAGAGAGAGAGAGAGAGAGAGAGGGCTCGCTGGAAGAGAGAAGAAATAATTCCAGGAACCGAGAGAGAAAGATGTCGGTCCAGGTTTAAGACCGAAAGAAAACGACGTCGTCCCTCTTTGTAATTTGTGGTCCACAAAAACAACTCGGCCGGTGGTGACAACGCCCGGACATGGGTTGGGTTCGGTCTAGGTTTCGGACCCGTACCCAACCCGGGTCGGGTCCAAAACTTGAACCTAAAACCGTATCCAACCGGTTCAAAGTCTGGTTTGGTCCATTGCTATACACAGCTATTTTATTTATTTATTTTTTTTTATTTTTTTTTTTGTCACAATTACTCACAATTAGATTTTAAATTATTTGATTTGTCGTTTAATAGCTAAATGACTACGAATTTTTATTATATACGATCTTTAATACACCCAAACGAATAGAGCTTGAAATCTAATAATGAATAATAATCATACCTGAATAGCATTTGGGTTTGGATTTTAGACCCAAACCCAACTCGCCGGATCTAAATATTGTACCTATATCATACTCGTGTCAAAGTTTGCTACCTTGACCCCATAGACGCCCTCACGTTTTGAAAACAGGGATCGGTTCCCCCCTCCCCACATTTTATAGTATAAAAGATACGAAAGTGCTCCATTTTCCTCTCTAAAATGCCATTATGTAATACGAACTCTCACCATCGCTCTCTCTCTCTCTCTCTCTCTCTCGTTGCATTCAAGGGCGAATTATTTTAGAAAGGCAAGGAGTGGGATACCTATGTAATAGTGGGATGACTAATTGAACCCTTCACCCAAATTTTTTTATTGGAAAAAGTTTATATGAGGTTGCAACTTTATAATGTACAGATGCACCTCAAAAATCCATTCAAAAAGATAGTTTTAATGTTGAAAAACCCTTGATTGATCATCTCGACATCGAGATGTATGACCATAAAAAATAAAAAGATTTTAAACCTTAGAAATAGTACATTCTACAACATATTATCTACACCGTCTATTTTCAAGATTTTTATGTGTTTATAGATCTACTTGATTTTAACTATTTTTTAAATTACAAATTTTATAATTAGATATAAAAATAGATTTTGAGATAATCCTAAACATATTTTACATCAAAATTATATATCATAATAAAATTTGAAGCCGCACCTTACCTCTACAGCTACAGATGCATCCGTATGCCAACAACACCTTTTTTTATTTAATTTCGAAATACTCATAAAAGGGCACATGGTTCAATTCCTATACAACCTCGTCCAAAAAAAATTACAAATGGACAAAATGCTAAATACTTCATTTATTGTGGTATTTTAATAAATTTCTCAAAATAAATTAAATTACATGATTTCCTTATCTTGGGATAGGTGAGAGATTCAAGCCCATGATATTTTGAGTGGATCTACTTTATATTTCATACTATTTCAATGGTCCATTTCAATTATTTAAAATTATAAAAATGATACACTCAACCTATGGCTGGTTAAACTCATCGAACCCTAAAGAGAGAAAGTGAAGAGAGCACCTTCATTCGTTTCAAACTCATCGTTTACACTTCTGATATATTACAGTGGACAAAGTTGCTTTTGAGGGTAAATAATAAAATAATGACTAAGCCCCATACAATATTACAAAAAA